TAGCCTGTGAAATAAAAAGGATATACTGTGTAGGCTGGTGAGGCCACGAGCATAAAATTAAAACATTCTTTCTGTACTAATGCACCAGCAGTGTAATTTGGTTTGTAATTTGTTTGATTTGATTTTGGAGAGAGGGTAAAAACATTTAGGGGAATTTGGCAACAAAAAAAGGATGTCTATTTTAGGCAGCTTCACATTTACATTATTTGGTCATATTGTTTCAGCTGATGTTTGCATTTCTGTACTGTGCTGTTCCTTTCATTGCCTGATCATTTTAAGTTAGTGTATTCAATATAATTGTCTTTTTTTTTCTAATTCAATGAGACATTCATCATTTTCCTGTTATGCCCTATCATCTTTATTTTTCCTTTTGGTTTTCCGTGACATGAACCAGATTACTAGTCAATGGGTAAGTGTCTTTTCATTGTTTTTTAATTTACATTTTTTCATTGAATACTAGCAGCCACTTTTTATTTTTTTTGTTAGCCAGACCCTCAGAATTCCTTTACAGTCTGATCTTGCAACAGACTGATCATCAGCTTCTCAGTTCTTTCCTTGTTCACCCTCTAAGGTGGTTCCAGATGAGTTCTTCACTTTTATGCTTTTTAGACCAGTGTCCAACCTTACCAGGTCACAAATTTTGGACTCTTTCACCTCTCAGTGAGGCTCATCAGAAGCAAACCAAAGCCAGCAACTCTTTGTCTGAGGCTGATGCTGCCATTTCATTTTCATGTAGTGTACAAGCAGAAACCTGCAAACATGCACACCCTTCTTTGGGGACAGGGAATACCAGTACTTCCATAAAGACCTGCAGACAGATGGTATAGCCTCATTCTTGATATATGTGCCATTCCTCTTCCCTGCTCTGAATGATAACTCCTGCACTGTCAGCCAGTTCCCTCAGAGCCAAAGTTCAGCCACCTTAAATCCTGCATTTTGGAGTAAAATTATCTTCCATGATGAGCAAAATTTTTGTTTTGTCAAGGGTAGATGTTTTACTGGAAGATGGCATTGGGATGGAGTGGGTTAAAACATGTATGATCTCATGTTTGCAAATCATGAAACAAACAAATGTCATAATTTTGGAAGCTTGTGATTTTTTAATAATTTGCCCTAGTTCTTTTTTTCCCTTGACCGCACATGAAGTGACTGATCAAATTCCATTTCTATAAAATTATACTTGCTCTGTGGTGAGAAAAAAAAAGATTAAAAAATCAATACAAGAAAAAAACCAAAAATATAGGAACTGGTCTTGCATACATAGATCAATTAATTTAATACACCATGGACGTAAAGTTACAGACACTTTCCAGGAGGGAGGGCAACTAACTTATCATGGATCGTAGAAATAGGTATAGTTTTAACATGCATCTGCTGGAGAATAATTGCTTATTGTTTTCAGAGAGTTTGCCTCTTGAAGACTCTGTAATCAACAGATGTCACAGGCAGTTTGAGGTGATTCAAGTCCTTAGCAGATCAAGACAATATTATATCAGTCAAGGCATTAATATGGTTGGAATATAATAGATCTGAAAATGTAGAAGGTTCTTTGATATATTTTTAATATGCTCTTTCACTGTTCCAAGATGTTTGCTGCTGTTTGTTTGAGTTGTATATTCATGTTTTCCAAGTGTTTTTAACCTTTAAAAGAGAGTAAAACCAAAAATTGACATGCTTGGTGTTGGTACCTGTAGCAGATACATATGTATGGGCGAGCACATCTCATAGTTTTATTCTTTCTTAATCTAGACATAGGTTTGTTACCTGCACTGTTTAGGAAATCATTCCCAAGTATATTAAGTAGATCAGATTTAATGTTTTGGTTTGTATGGCAACTCTGAGACAGATTAAAAATATCCTATAAGAACTTAGAACTCTGAAAACCATTCAACTGGCAGCTGCTAAGTTAGGCTAATGTTTACACTGACCTCAGTACTTTTACTCCGAGCATTATGCTGTTAGCTGTTCCAAGTAGCCTTGAACTATGAAGATAGGGCTAGTCTTTACAAGTCACATTTTCTGTGAAGTGGCTATTGGGGACAATCTTTGCTGTCAGATAAATGTTTCTAAAGGAAGAATTACTGTTTAAATTGCTGTGCCTTCTTGACAGAATGGGATCCCTAGTTCCTGTTAATTTCAGGAGGGAACTCTGTAGTATTATCTAAAAAGTCTTTCAGATTTATTTTAAAAGCATTTACTTAAAGGCACATTCTTTGTGAAAAAGCAAAAGAAAAAGGCTATGGAGAATGAAGTCTGTTTTATTGTGCCTTTTCTGGCCTATTAATTTGTTACCATCTATGCTGCTTTGTTGATGAAATTTTAATTTTGCCCTTGCTTGAGCATATTGTAGGATTTGTATAAACTGCAGCACACTGTGCTGACAGAAAGGCTCTTTTAAGATGAACAATTGGAGCTCGTTTTATTTCTAGAGGACATTTAAAATAACTTATGAATGAGAGTTGTCAGACATGAAATGCTGTATTAATTAAATCTTATTCTAGTCTTTTTGCTTCTCCAGCTAAACCAACCCTTTAGAAAAAAATACATGGCCACCTTAATTATATAGGGGAAGACAAAAAGTATCCTTCACATTCCTTCGCCTGAATAAGTATAAGAACTCAATTCATCTAAATAATAACCCCATTAGCTGCTTAACTCAACAGTGTACATGGGAAAATTTTCAACACAGAGTGTAAGAAAGTGTTGATTGGGTGGATCATTTTCAAGGGTTTGTTCTTCTGATGTTCGAAATGATAATTTTAAGTAAATCTGATCTGGCAGAGTTATCAGCTTTGTACCATTTATGACTTATGACAAAAGTGTGTGTTCATATACATGCTAATGCTTCTTTATCTTTTGAAATACAGCAACAATACCATTCAAAAATAGATGACTTGATTGATGAAACGGTTAAAGAAATTATTTCCCTTCTTGTTTCAAAGGTAAAACTATTTATGTTTTAATTTATAATTAAGAAGGAAATTGTTGAACTTTGGAGATGTCTTTAAATATAACACAGTTTTTCTATACACAGTGAGACTGTGGGGGACAACAATCTGATTTGTAAGTAATAGTCATGGAAATAATACTGAATTTACAAAATTAAATTTTATAATGCATTAGGTAAACAATTTCTGTGCAAGCTGCTATTCAGATAAGTTTGTCTTCTATATTTCTGTTATAGATAGTAAAACTGGTAGGACTTAATTTTGTCAATATTATCTTAAGTAATAGTATGTGTTATTTTTTGTTTCATTTTTTACATGACAACTTTCTTCCTATCAAGTGAGTAGTATTTAAATTTTGTATTTTGAGATGGACAACATCCAGGATGTCAATATAACTTTTCAGTGAGATTTTGTTCCACAAACCATTTAATTAAAAATATTTTATGAGCTGTTGTTTTTTGAAACTGATTTTATATGGGTTTATGTTTTAAAAGAAAACATGTTTTGACATGATATAGGGATTTGGAGAATAAGTGAGAAAAATTTAAACAATCTCTTGTGTTTCTCCAGCACCTCTACTCCAGTAAAAGTCTTAAGTGCTTGATATAAAATAAAAACTTTCAGTCCCTAGCAGTTTGAAGGACACAGAAAATAATGAAATAAAAGTAAGATTTTATAAGAAGTTTCATTATCTATACGTTACAAACTACGCAGAAGTATCTGATTTTCAAATTAGGAGGAATAATCCATACATTTACAATTTGTGAGTCAGTGAGAAAATCAGTCACAAGAAATAAGACTCTGGTCATATTTTCACCATGCCTTCATGTTAAACCAAAATGTTTCCACTTCCTGTAAAAAACTGTAGAAACCACACATTTTTTCTCTAAAGTGAAGTTTTGACAATAAACATTGCTACAAACAGCTCAACTCAACAGTTTCAAGTTTTACATAATGCCTGTCATTGCTCTGAAGTAACCTGCCAACTCATGGGTTTAGTGTTATGAAGAGGGAGAGGAAGACAGGGGAATTTAAACAGAAGAAATCATGCTATTAAAGGCTAAACCTTTTGATTAATTTTTTTAATATTATAAAAAAAGGAAGAAAATAGTCATATTCCTCCTGGCTGTATGTACAAGAAATTCTAGAGACAACTGCTGTCAGTACATAGGGATTTTCATTAGTTATCACATACAGTATTACCAGAGGTTGAAATCTCAGAGCAGGAAGCAAATATTCCATGTCATTGGCTGATCATTAGGAGCTTAACCAGTGTCTCCTCACTTGAGATGTGAAATGCCAGTGATAACCTGATTGCTTCTGTTTCAAGGCAGAAAGGAAGGGTGCAGAGGAAGGCTGATGTTTTGCTCTGCTTTGGCCAGAAAAAAAATGCACAGCAATGTGCATGATAACCATGTGTATTCATTATTTTCATTACTTTTTAGCCTTTGCCTCTGTATTATCTCCTCTGTTGTCCAGTGGAATAAGTGTTTCAATCATTGTTTTTAGCTGTGAGTCATTTATGAATATGAAAATAGTACTTTCGATTCAATGAGGCTTTACTTGGTAAAGACTACACTGGGCATTTTGTACACAAGATTTGCCAAGCTAAACATTTCATAAATCACAGGAATAGCACAAAACAGTGAAAAAAAGCACAGTGTGTTCAGGATAACCAATCCAGAGAATGTGAGGTGTATGCAGAAATGCTCTTAGAGCTTCACATGTCCATACACTGAGATCTTGGGAAACAAGTTTCCAGCTTCATAACTAGGCCTTTTGTTTAAACAGACATCCTTGACACTGCAATGTTTTGATCTCTGTCCTTTTGTGTGCCACTTGTATTGGAAATGTATGTTGGCACTGCAGACACCATGTTGTTTGTGAGATCAGCCCTTTCCATAGCAGATCTTTGCGCAATAAGGTTGAGCACCTTTCTGCAGAAGGAATCCTTGCCAGTCGGATAAAATGAGTAAAAGTATGAAGAAGCAGCTTCTCACAGGCATGCAACAGCAAAGCAGAAAGCTGGTACTTGGTCTAATAAAGGGACCATAATTATACTGTGCATGGGGTGCAGAAACAACTGCCACTCTCTGTCACAATGTGGATTTTTTTCTTTGATTGGCACCTATGTACTGGTGTCTTAATTAATCACTGTAAATATGATAGGTTAGATTGATAAATGACAAATGTAGGTTTGCACTTGCTCTTACTCCTTGAACTGTTAAGAGCAGGGCTTATTGTAAAGTGATGATCTCAGTTCCTCTGGAGGTGACACTGTTGTGACACTGTTACAGTGCCCATTAACAGCATGCCAGATGGAATTTTGTTCTGTCCTCACACTCATAAAATGATACTCATGGTTGTGGAAATGACTGTGTTGGGAGCAAGGGATGACTTTTAAAACAATCTTAATATAAACTGGAAAGCAATTTATATGTGTAAAATAAATGTGCATGAATGCAACAGCCGACAGATATGTTATATATCATGAATTACTTGAGCAACATAACATCACAGAGGGATGTGAGAAGGGATTTTTTTTTATTTCAAGGCTAATTTGGAGGAGTTTAAACATTAAATCCATAATTAATGCAATTAATAAGACTTTTTGGAGGGTTAGAAATAAATTTTGGCACGAACACCTTTCTATGCCACTTACCAAGGAGTCACACTGCTCAGAGAATTGCATGTGGAAGTATAAGGGAGAAAAACCACACCATTTTAAAGACTTTGGACATGCATTTTCTTTCTCCTTCTTGGCCATGGAATAGCAGCTCCACAGCACATGTTTTTGACAGAAAACTGTAGAGCTTTTTCACTCTTGGGTAAAATCAGAGCTGGGTTTCTATTCAATAGCAAAGGTTACAGAAACGTGATATTGAGATCACTACCTTTAGCAATCATGCTCCATCATCTTTGAAGCTGTGATCTTAGAAACTGTGGTCCTAGAAAACAACATGTGATTTCTACCCAAAATACGTGCTAGGTACATACACTACTGTGTTTAACCACACGTTCTCAAGGCAGCAATGTTGTGTTGGAAGCAGGACCACCTCAGGAGAAATTTTGGGCTGGGTTTCTGTTGCTGCATTGGTATGTCTGTTTGATCAGTAGATAAAGCTGCTAATAGAAGGTCGTCCTTGATTTTAGCATTTTATGAGATGGGGAAAGTGATCAAATTTACAGTTCACTTTGCCATGCTGAACAATAAAAATGTAAGGAAGAAATGTTCACATTCTCATTCCAGATATTTACTATTCATCCTGTGCATTTAGATTTTTCTCTGTGCTTTTCCTCCAGGTTGTTTCAGTGTTAGAAGGTGTGCTGTCTAAATTGTCAAGATATGATGAAGGCACTTTCTTCTCATCATTAGTTTCATTCACTGTAAGTGTTTGGGTTCACAATGGTTCTGTTCTTTCTGTGCATAATTCTGAGGCTGTGCACAGTCTGTAGTAATAAGTACTTACTGTGTGTTTTATGCTTAATTTTCTAAAGGTGAAAGCAGCTGCAAAATATGTTGATGTTCCTGTAAGTACAACCCTTTTTAATTTATTTATTCTAGTGGTCATAATAATTCAAAAAATAGGAGGGTTTTAGCTCACTTTTTTTTATTGTTGACATTTTGCTTTCCTGCAGAGATTCATTATAGCTTTACACAGAGTATTTAAACAGCCACTACAACCCTGAGAGGGCATTTCATTTCCCTCAAGCAATGAGTGACTCTCAAAGCAAAGCTTGGAAAGGTTATTCTCAATGCACTTTTTCAGTTGTGGAAGAGTGATGATTGTAACTTAGATATACTTTTGTGGGGTATTTCCATCATTTGGATAAATTGTTCAAATGTGCAGTATAAGCAACAAGTAAAAGCATCATACTTGAATATCCATTATTTTTTAATTTCTTACTTCAGGACTCAACCTTGCTTATTTAATCCCTGCTTGCTAAATCTCCATTTGATTTACTATTCCTTATGCAATGTTTGTGTGGTATAAATACAAAATAAAAAGTAACTGTTGGAGCTCTTTTATTCATAAAAGCAAAATTCTATTAGCTATTAGAATATTTTTATTAGATTATGGTAGTAGCATACCTTTAAATAAGCAAGGAAGAAGTTATCAAATATTGTCATTGACAATGTCACTATCCTTTGTTCTCTCAGAAGTCTGTGTTCTTATCCCTTTTTAATGCAGTTCTAACAAAATTTTCCAAGCATAGCAAAAAGATTACTAAAATTATTATGTTAATGAACTTACAAAAAGTTAAATTGAAATACAGAAGAATGCTGGACATGCTAGACTGTGTGGTGGCCAGAAAACCTTTCAGCCATTCTATACTGAAAAATATAATGCTTGCAAGCTTAAATTAATTATTTTTTTAATCAATGCATGCTAAATAAAAGGAAAAATCTCTATGTCTGGATTTGTTATTTGACTGTCTTTATATTTGCTTTATTAATAAGATAAATTGTAACATTTCCATTGTTTTCAGATTTTTTTCTTGTTTGGTTGCATGGGGGTTTTTTACCTGTATAAATTCTCTAGTGTTTTATAAAAATGAAATAAAGTAGGCTGTCTTGCATTCAAAGGAATGGCCTCATATCAAATCCAGTTAACTTAGTATACCTCTTAATATACAGTGCTGTGGAGCTGCCCCAAAAGGTCCTTGCTGAGGCACTTAAGGCTCAAAATCCAAAAGAAAAAATTACTGAACAAACTAGAAATTCATTGACTTCTTTCAGGTAACATGGAAAATTCTCCAAATTACATAGACTATCTATGATAATGAGACATCAAATTCTGTACCTTTGGCCAGGTTACATTGACATTGAAGTCCACAATAAAGATGAAACTGAAAAATACTTTTGCCACAAGGTCAGGGGAATATTGCAAATCAGGTCATACAGGGATGCACTCATTGCTCTGGAGAAGGCAGCGTGAGGAGATGGTTGCTGGAGCCCCATTGTCCTTCTCATATTCACTGAATGGTGGTACTCGGCCTGAAGGAACAACCAGGTTATAGAGGGGATATCAGGATCCTTGCATTGTCACAGCCTCTTCACTTTCCAGCTATCCCACACACACCTTTCCCACAGCCCAAGATGTGAACTGGACTGTGGTTCTACAGTTAAAAACTACAGGTGTAATCTGTACTTCAAGGAGGCTTCACATCTGACCCAAAAAATATTTTCCAAGTTCTGGGGGACTTCTTACCTTGGTTGAAGGAATTTGATAGGTTGGGATTTGGTTTTGCATTTTCACATTCTTCCACTTATTGTGAAGATGCAGTTGAGGCCAAGAAGAGCCATTACTGTCACAAATGTCAGCGAGTGTTCAGTCTGAATAGGGTCTAAAATCACTGGGTATCAACGTAACAAATTCTAACTGCAAAAGGAGGCTGTAAGTCATCACATTACAAGGTCATCACCTGGACTCACAGCTAAAGTGAGAAGTGGAGAGAGGGGTGACACAAGGTGAGGAATGTACACAGAGCTCTTGGCAGTGTGGTGATCACCTAGCAAGCCTGCACTGAAGGTAATTAAATGCCCCATGTAGCTTTATTTTGACCTGATATGGTGTAAAATCTCTTGTCCCTCCTTACCATATAGCTGTATATATGGAAGTGACTTAAAAGTGACCACAGTAGGCCTTTCTTTTGATGTGGTTGCAAATACGTGCAGAATTGCACTGTGATTGGTACAGCATTCTGTCCCATGTTCCACCTCCATTTGAGAGTCTCACTGGGTCACCTTAGTGCTGACCTTGGGGTCCCTGAAATAGAGCTGGAGATCGCTTGATACATCTGGGAGAGAAGGAGGTGGATCAGGAAAAAAGGTCTTTGAGGGTTTTTAGAGTGTGTGAATTCACCAGAGTTTTTGACCTTTGATTACCAGGATTTGGCAAAGAGGAAAAAATATGCTGGTTTGTAATGAAATAAGAAGAAACTAACCAGACAAAAGAGACATCAGAAGAAAATTAAGACAGTACTAAGCAGAATAAGAGGTAAAGGGGATAAAAAAGTTAAAAGGTAAATAAAAATAGAAATAATAAAGCATTCAAAAAGAAGGAAAGCATTCTTGGATGACTCTTGGTCATTTTGAGGAAACAGTTAATTCTTTTAATATTGAGAGAGGATTTAGACATTAACAGTTGGGCTTGAAGATGCACCAGAAGGTATCCCTTAACTTCTCAGGGCCAGTGTGGGAAAGAAAGACACAGACTTGTGGTTCGTTTGGCAGATATGTTTGTAAAAATGTTGCTGTCTACCCTTCCATTTATTAATCTTGCCCTAGAATTATGAATAATACTGTCCAAAAGAAAAGAAAAAAGTGTTTTGTTTTTTTTTCTTAACTGTATAAGAAAACATGAAACATAAGCCTCCGTTTTTCAGAATTCCCTTTATGAAGTGGAAGGTTTGCAGTCACCAGGAGCTCTCATTGCTTTCCCCAGACATCGAGTATATGGTACATGGACACTGTGTTTTAGTAATTGAAACACCAACTAGCAACAGTGAAAAGCTACCCAGACTAAGAAGAGTAAGAACAATGATGTCTTGTGATTTCCTAAAAATAATAATAAAAAATTCTAGTTGACATTACACTCTTTTTATGGGTAATTGTTGCAGTACACTAGGGACTGAAGTGGAAGAAATTGTGACTGCTGTGCACGTGAAAGAAACCAAATGTTTGGAGGAAAATAACACAAATGTTACAAAAATAAGTAGCACATGAAGCTTGACATTTGTTCTCTTGTTAATGCTATGTTTTGATGTTTGGAAATGCAGAAGCTGATTTGGGTAATTGGTTTCTTAACAACTCATCCAACTCCACTATGACTCTTTGTTCACTTCTCTCAAAGTCCAGTCAGTCTTTAGGATATGTAGAAGTACAACCTGTCCAATATTTTTCCTTTTTGTTTAATATTCTGTTCACTAAGCCAGTTAATTAATGAGAATAGGGAAATAATGCAGTAGAATTGAGGGCAAAAAAGGTATGTTTTTAATCTCAAATTATTATTATTCTTTAATCATGTAGATTATTCCATTGTGTTCAGTTTCTCGCCATGTAAGTCAGTTTTGCACACAAATAATTGTGTCTCTAACTGGTCATTTCTACACACATTTGCCTCATTCACAAATAAATCCAGAGCAATTACTCATACAAATTGAGCATCCAGTTACATGCATATGCATATACTGCTTTTTGTTCGGAAAGGTATGTTTAAATCCCTTTGTAGAAGGCAGTAATCTATGCCAGTCACTTAGAGGGCACAGAAGGAACCTAATCCTCCCTCACTTCATGTGGCCACCTGTCATACCAAGTGCAGAGAGGCCATTTGAAGGACCCAGGGCTGACAGCAGTGCACAGCTCACACAATGCCATCCCCCTCGCTCCGCTCATGCCTTTATGTGGGGATCAAAGGTATGAAAAGGGGCCTCACACATGTGCCAGCATTTGACTTATGGGGTCCTGTAGAGGCCAGAGTAACAACTCTGCCTCCTACCAGGCAGATACTCACGAGATGCCTCCGTTTCCAAATCACACTTGTACTGCATGGCCTCATATAGCTGGTTCTAAGAAGCAAGCAACTTTTTGTGGGAAATGAGTGTTTATTCCAGTGTGGCCATACTGTGCCAGTCATTTTTAAGCAGGATTTACTTGGAGAAGTCTGTTTAAAATTAAAGAGCACAGAACAGTCATTATCCTCATGATCAGGGCTTCTTCTGGTTTCCTCCCCCTTCTCTGTATACCCAGACCTGGGAACTGCCCCTTCTGTTTTCAAATCTGTAAGAACAGGCAATTGAAGAATTGAAGGGAAAGCCCTGCAGCATCTGATTTAAGTCAGCAGTATTTTTGAGATACCTCTTAAATGGTGATCAGAAGGATGACTGCTAATTGGTAGGAAAGTTAAAATGGCATAGTGGAACATCATTTTTGGGGAGGAAAAAATGCATATTTTAATACCCAATTTTGTCATAGAAACTGTAGCGTTTTGAAAGCCTTTTGCCCTACAGAATTAAAATCCTGGTTCAGACACTTGCATGTCTGTGTTGCCCTGTGAATGCAATGAAACTACACAAAAAATGAAGAAGTACTTGCATAAATGCTTGCAGAATCACAGCTTAACCTCTGCATGACAGTTGCTTCTTCTTTTTCTACAAGAAGATTTTTTAGAGACAGGGAAAATGCATTGTATTTTTTCATTAAGCAAAATATCATTTTTCATAACCATGTGAGATTAAAATGTTACCTTTATAATAGACTGATTATACAAATCATCTGCCTTCCTGCCTGGCTTGTGTATTTTGTTTTGTAGGAAATGAAGGGGACAAGGATTTTGTCATGGGTACAAGTAGCTTTTATTCCAAAACTATTTTAATGATATTTTAACTCTGTTATTCCAAAGCCCAAGTGATGAGCCTTGCAGTCTTTAGAGAGGAAATTTCAGGCAGTGAAATTTTCCAACATGCTCTTTCATTTAGTGGTGGACACTGAATAAGGAGCTCCTATGTTCCTCACAATAGCCCCCTCCAGCTCATCACTCCTTTTCATTTCATTGTTACACACATGCTGCAGTTAAAACGACTCCCTCCAGGATGCAGGGGAGGGGAAAGAGGTGGAGAGGAGAACAAACACAAAACAGGATGAAGTTTGTTATTGTGTAGTTAGTCTCTAACATCTGTTCTCATCTTTGAAACATTAATGCTTTGTCAGGGTAGCAACTCAATAAAGCTAGATATTTTTTTCTTGACAATAGAATTTGTTTCATACTTTCTGATGCTAAAAAAAAAGTTCTGAGACAAATGCCAAGGTGAGAATACACGTAATTCAAGCATTACAAATGTACATGATTTTAATTGAGATGACAAACTGTTGCATTGCATAATGCTGTGCAGAAACTTAGGTGTACTTCTCCTGTAGGAAAATGCCTAATATTATTGGCAGCATTAAGCCCATTGCAAAACTTTCAGCAGCAAAATACTTGAACATCTGGAAACTGAGGCAGTGCAGCATTATTTTTCACAAGGTGCTTCAGGCAAATTTTGCCAGTGGGAGCCATGTATGTCAATCATAAAACAGCTTCTGCCTCATCTTGGAAACTGGAATAATATATTTTAACGTTTGCCTCCTTGTTAAATAGACACTATGATAGTGTTTTCCTGTTAAAAGAGGGAAAGTTAAGCTGTTTCTTCTTTATCTGAATTTGCTGCTATGAAAAAGTGCCTGTTGATTGGGACCCACCTACCAGTGAATAGTAAAAGAGACAACCTGCACCTGTGGGATTAGGTGCAGCAGCAGGAAGTAAGAGCACTTGCAGTATATAATTAACAAGGATTCTTAAATTTTTTTTTTTCCCAAACAGCATGTTCATCTTGCCAGGTTAACTAGTGATTAACCCTAAAAAAGAATGTGCTGAAGCCTACACCCTTGTTTAAACTCATTCACTCGCCAGTGTATTCAGTTACTTGTGTAACCAGCGACAAAGTAACCCTATTTACAACTCTTAATTTCCTGGTATTTTATTTGATGTCTTTGTGTTTCCAGTTTCTCTATTCATCTCTTTGTCTGGTTCTCTTTCATTTTCAGATAGGCAAAACATCTTGTCTGCTGTCCTGAATAAAACAAACCTACAATAACTTTCTATCTGTCATAAAAAAACACCTTTTTTCTTGGGGGAATTTTCAGACAGATTTTTTTTTAACACTTTTCCAGATAAATATACCAGGTTAAATTCTTCTCTCAAAGATGTGCAAATAACTCTCTCTCATTAATTTCAGCAGATGTTCTGCCAGAGATTCAGAGGAACAGAATATTTTTTATATTGGGAATAGATGTGCATACTGGATTAATTTTGTCTGTCCAATATTAGTGATGAAATGCCCCCTGTGGCAGTTATTTTGAATATATCTCAGTTTCTATTCGTTTGTGGTTTAAGGTACATTAAATTTCTTAATTGTTGGTTGTTTGTTTAATTCTATCATCAACTTGGGTTTTTTTTCTGAAGTTTAAAAATCCAAAACAGAGCAATAGAGACTCATGTAATCAGAGGTTTCCAGCTAATACAAAATCTCTGTTAAAAAAAAAAAAAAAAAGTTAAAACATTAAAAATACAGCATTAAACCTGTTTTGCTGCTTTCTTTTCTTCTTCCATGTGTTCAGAGAAAACGAATAAATTTGATGCATGAAATATGGAGAGATAATGAAGTATTTGTTGGTTCATGTAATGTTTAATATGTGCTTTGCCCACCATGAGCAAAGATGGTTAAACCTACGGTGATTTTTGTGAGGTTTAAAAACAGTCATACTTTGGAGTATTGATAATCTGCCTTACCAAGACTTATTTCTACCGTGGGCAGACACTGTTTAAAAGGAAAATTAATTTTTTTTCCACAGCAATTTTGAATATAATTATCCTGCACACATTAAAGAAGAATGAAGTGTTTTAAAGAACTGTAATTCTAATTGGTAAATGTCACCAGCTGTTGCAGCTACTCTTACTTGTGTATATTCTTTTAATGATTACACTCCTGTGCCACAAGCTACATGAAAATATATTCACTAGGTGTGAAATTCCCATATGTCACAGCTTCGAGACTAGGTAAACATCTCAGAGATAAGGGGAGAGTTAATGCTGATGGGAGATGTTATTTTTCTAGCTTTGACTATCTGCAACATGAACATTTTTATTGAACTTCATAAAAGAAAGAATTGCATGAATTGGAGAACCGCTAGGTTTAGCATTCAGTGGAAGATTCATTAATACATTTGAATAGATATCTTGAAGAACTATAATCAGCTGTTCGTATATTAGATTATCTCTTTATCTTTTATCTCTGGAGATTTTAAAATATTTTCCCATTATTCCTCCAAGCTAAAGCTAGTTCAATTCCTATAAATTGCTTATCAGGTTTTAGAAAGTACATAAAGTGTCAGCACTGGTTGTGTTCTTTTCTACCATAACTAATGAGTATACTAAGGTAAAATGCAGAGTTTTCTGTTTTAAATCTGCTTCACTTTATGATTTGTCTTATTATAAAAACATTTCCATCACATTTTAATGAAGAGACATTTTTATGAATGAAATCTATTGATTTCTATAACTAGATTTTCCAATGGAAAACACTTCTATCTATCGAAATCTTACTTCAAAATATATCTATCTATCACAAGCTGCACTTATTTCTACGCTTAGGATTGAAGTGTGTAATGCAGATATAAATATAAATGGTCCTGCTTTCCACTTAAGAGTTTCATTTAAGCTCGTATGCATGGGACAAGGCTTTGAAATGAGCTTCCATTGCCTCTGGAATGACCAGTTCAAATGTGCAGATGTTTCAGTTTCTCAGTGAGAGTTTTGGAGATGTTACAAGTGTTAAACCAGGCCATCACTCCACATTTAACTGGTACTTGTAAGAAATTAAACTGTTACTTTTAAGAAATGAAACTGCCATTGATGCACATGTATAAATGAAAAAGAAAATATTCTTATTTTGGAACATATTCCTATATGTGTCTGTGATAGAGTCAGGAAAAAAAGAGTTGAAGCTCATGATCCAAAAGGTTTCACTCACTGCAGTTTTGAGGAAAGAATCCTGTCATCCTATTGTAATGTCAATTTCTGAACAAGGTTTAGTATGGGCATGTTACACCTTTCCTTCCCTTATGTGCTCAGATCTGTTCATATATGTTATAAATTACTACACACAAGATAATCAGGAATTAGAAAAATTATCCACTTTCAGAATAGAAAGAAAGCCTTTATGTAAAATTGTATGTAAATATTCTCACTATATGAGCACATTTATGCATACAGGCCTTTAAAGCATGCTAAATATTTTATAGCATTGTTCATACACTGTTTTCAGACAATGACAGTTTCTGAGAAATAGAGATGACTTACGCCTGGAAATTCAGGGACTGAGTATAGCCACTTTGGTGCTCCTTCCCTAGATCTGTTACTTATTTTTGTACAGAGTAAGTCTTAGCAAAATCTGGATCCTTTATAAATAGCTTTGTGCTAAGGCTTACTGCAAAGTAGTGTAAAAGTTAGCCTTCTTTGCATGCCAGGAACTTTTAAAACTACTTTTTGGGAGCAAGTGATACTTTTACAAACTTGCTCACACAGAAGGCATTTACAGAGGACTTTCCAGAGTGCTTATGTCCATTCTTGGTTCCTGATAGAGAAAGGTGAACTCCTTACCAGCTCTGCATATGTTGCCAGTAACAGGATCTGGACCTCCACCGTCAGGGTGGAGCAGCTATGAAAGCCTCACTAATAAAAAGGAGGAAAATGTCCAAGTTTGCCATTTGACATTACCAGAGCCAAGGCTTCATTCCATTGCATATGGTAATGTAGATTTATGACTCAAAGCATTCATAAATTAAAACACTGAGAACTTCATTAATAGTGAACCCTCTGAATTTGATAACTAACTGAGAATTCACAGCAAATTTTGTGTATACAGTTTCCACGTGTGAACATTGTAATGTCTCGGTTTTCCTTATGTTTAAGTATAATTTCTTATGTCTCAGGTGTTAAGGGTTCTGTCTCTTCCCTTCCCACTACTTTGTCCCCTCACTTTGTCTCCACAGAAACCAGGGATGGATCTAGCAGACACCTACATTATGTTTGTTCGACAAAACCAGGATATACTTCGAGAAAAGGTCAATGAGGAAATGTACATAGAGAAGTTATTTGATGTAAGTAACTACAAAGTTTGCTGGTACCACTACTACATCCCTCAGCTTTGATACTAACTTCTGCAGCCTTCTTCCACTCACTCCTCTGTCCTGATTCCTCATCTTCTTGTTAGAAATGATCACATTTCAATTCACTCAAGTTCTGACAACTAATTTGTGTTTAGCATATCCCTTTCTAAGTTGTTTGAAGGAGAAGCTGTAGGCAGCTGAAATTGTAGCTTCTGTATAAATCCAAAGCACTACACATGTAAATATATCTACAATAAGTTATTTTATTATAAACTTGGATCAATTTGTGTCACAATTATCTCAGTCACTTATAATTATGTAGGAGTTTGAACAGGGAAAGAAGTCAACTCTGGCACTGTGAAATGGAATTTATTACAAAACGAATTCTGGAACATAATACAGACTTTGAAATCTGTATTATTTGTGTCATCTCCTAAGTATTTTAGAAAGCTTTGCTGGCAGTTTCATTTAATTATGCAAGTTACAGCAAATGTTTTCATAACAGCAATTCACAGCCTTTACTGTGACACTACAGTTGTGGCAGTCACAGAAGGTCCCGTAACATAGACTCTCAGCCATGGTATGTCATGTCAGTGTTTGTTGTTTGTTAGACTGGGTGGTCAAAATAAGACTTATCTCTCAGATTTTATATTTCCAGACACTCCTAGGCAGCTTTACAAAAAAAAAGTATCATCTGTTTTAATAAGCTAAGTGCTAATATGTGTGAAAAGAATGATTTTATAAAAGCTTTGATGCCCTGCAGGGGTAGAAAAATTATCATCCATCCAGCTGGCACCTTCACAAAGTACTAAAACTGTGTTAGCAACTTCTGCTTCAGTTTGCTTTTGCACTGAATCTGCAAGCATATGTTTCATTTTCAAGTTTCTATTTTTTTGTTTTTCTTTGGGGTTATTTTTGCTTATGTTGTCATTTTCTGAATGTTAATAAAATTATCTGCCTAAGGCCAAGTCTAACTCTCACTGGAACGACCACGTTGACTTTTTTCATGTAGTGTGATGGGACCAAGTCTCAGGCTATGTCCATAGCACTGCACTGGCTAGGGCCTGGGCACAGGCCTGAGAACTAGCAGGGGATCATCCACACCATGAAGTTATCAACAAGATTCCTCGCATGATTTTGGGTTAGCACTAACTCAAGGACAGTGTTTCAATATGGCTGGGTTAGCATGGGTTAAGGACCTCTAACAAGTTTCATTTCAGCAATTAAGCTTTTCAGAGCAAGAAAGTATCTCCGGTTTGGATGCAAGTTCTGACATAGCACTTGCCTTTGAGATAGCAAACCCATTTCTTTCCCCTTTTACTCAGTAGTACACATTGTATGCTGTCATGGCCAATGCTTATCTTTGTAAGGAAAGAAAAATATGTACGTGATATTTAGTTTGTGTATCGAATATCTATTTGTGTCTTTATTTTTCTATATGGTGGTATCGCATTTCTATACAACATCACACTAGGAGATATAACTGATTGGACAGACAGATAAAAGCATTAACAAATATGGAAGCTCATAGCATGCAGAAATTTAAAACAAAGTCATCTCACTCTGTTAATTCACCTTTGCCGAGATTAATTTAGATACAGTACATTATGACTGAGAAAGATTTTGCCCATGATTTTTGAAAGGGTTTTTTTAAATTTTAAAATTAGTAATATAACAAAACCTAGGTACTCTTCATAAATTCAAATCTATCAAGTTATATTTCAATAGAAAGAATAAAATGTATTCACATTTTTATGTGACCCATTCAACTGGCTACAGCTGCTGTCCCCTTGAAATACATTGTATTTGTATCAACTGAGAAATCATCAATCAAACGAAATATGAAAAGTGCGTTTTTTGTGCTTCAACCAGGGAAACACCTCATCCAGAATAACAAGAAACCTGACTGTTCTGTGTGCTTGAGGTGTTTGTGTTAACTATAGACAAGATCAGGCCTCGGACACTATTTTAAACCCCCAAAAATGTATGATCACAAACTATGTACGTGTTTTGTTGACTCTATTCACGGCTGCTATATGCTAACAGCTATTGCGGCGATCGAGTGAATGACTTATCTATCATACAAGGTAATGTACGTAACAAAGAACATCATTTAAATTTAAGAATAGTATTGCTACAAGTACAAATGTCTGCCAGGGGGTCACAATGTGTTAAGTCTAGGACTTGTAAAGTTTGCTGTCAATTGAGAAATCTCAATTTAGGCAGAATACAAAATATACGTGGTGTTTTACGGTGGTACTTGATAAGCCTAGAAAAGCAGTGCCATGCTACACAAAATGTGAAAATCAGGAGAACAGAATTTAAGCTTGTGATATGAATCCTTAAATGTGAAAGAGGTTCGCATCTCCAGGGGACTTTAAAAGAAGACTGGGCTGATAGTTTTTTCTGCACCATTTTTAAACCCTTTAAATACTGTGCTTCAGTACATCTGCTGATCATGCAGCAGAACCAAGGCAGTTTTTTCTTTCTTTCCTTTCCTCTGAAAAACTCAGCTTCTGGATGCATTTCATTATTGCCTCCTCCAGAAGGGCTATGGACAGCAGGCTGAGTAATATGTCTGGGTGCTGCTGGTAGCACTGATCTCTCCCAGGTCAATGTGCCATCTTCTTGTTCTCAAAACTAGTCACTAGGTCTGAGGTCACAAAGATTTTTGACTTGGTCAGTTTGTCAGAGACGCTTAGAAATTTTTGTCCTCCTTTGCAGTCTGGGACATGATCTTCTTTCTGCTATCAGCTGGGAATTTTGCCTGTCAAATTCCTCCTGTTACAGGAACTCAGGACATTTATCCCTTACTCACATGACATAACAGCTTATAACAGGGAGGGTGTTTGTTTTTAACGCAACGTTTATTAAAGAGCACTAGTAATGTTTTGAAATGTGTTGCACATTAGGAGCCTCTGCAGTAGCTCTTGAGTCTGCTCTGTTCATGATTCCTGAAGGTTTAGTGCAATGAGTGATCTATGTGATTCCCTCCAAACTGATACTCCACTGAAGTAAACTAAGCTAATGAAGTTACACTGGGACACGTTCCTCTAATAAACTCAAATAAATCAAACTTTTCTGCCATTAATGCTGTGGTGTCTCAGATTCAATGTATCACAACCAATTTATGAAGACAGGCACTACAGTGTTTATTTAATGATTACACTTTTTAATTATAATTAAAAGCATCAGTCACAGAACTTTTTTAAAGTCTAATCACTTAAACGGAAATCTCATTTTTTAAAATAATGTTCAGTAAAATGTTTTAGAGGCAAAATTGTACTTTTTCTTTTTTGACAGTTTGAAAATTGCTTATTTTTAGAAAAGGCTGTAAAAGTAGAAGTTGGTGAATGGGAAAATTAATTATTTAGAATACAATTACACAAAGCTAAAATAAATATAAAATATTAGTATTTGTTATTATTAAGGCCTTTCTTATTTATAAAGATTATCTGTTTGATGGATGATGTAAGAGCATCTGTGCAGCCTATCAAAGAGCAGTGCTGTGTATCTGATCACAAAATTAACAGATGTAAAAAATATCTAACTATGAAATTCCCATGGGGTCTGGTTCTACCCTCTCAAAATTAATGGAGGTTTTACCACTAACCTTAACAAATGCAGTGCCATGTCTATAAACATGCCAGGTTATCCTCACTGGCTAGACTTAGAGTCATGTTTCTCCTAGAGTTTTTAAGATGGGACTAATAAATCTTCAACTCCTGAGCATTTTAAATTGCATTAGATTTGTAAATTAAAAACCGTTTCCTTTAAATTGGATTTTGTTAACCAACAGCTTGGAAAAGCATTTTTTTCATTTCACATAAAGCTCTGTTTAAAACATTGCTGAAATACTTACTTTCTGTAGTAATGTGTAGTTCCTAAGTGCCACTTGGGTAGATTCTCACTTTCTTGTACCTGTGAATTGCACATGAAGTATGGATATGCTCGTCTGAACACAGAAAACAAATCAGACATTTTTGCTTCACATCCCTTCTTGATGTATTTGTCATTAACAACATTATCTTATAGATTGTATTTATGTTGGGTCTGTTGTGGCAAAATTAGTCTAAACAGATCTATGATTACAGTTTTATGAAAACTATATATGCAATGAAATTATGCAATAAATGATTGCTACTCTAAGAAATAAAGAATAGTTTAAGAGAACAGCTTTAACACATGAGTATTTAGCCATTGGTACAACTGAAATGTTTTCCAGTTCTTTTAGGCTTACTTTCTGGGAAACCTGTGCCCAAGTGTACCATAAACACATGAAGTAGTCAGAGTGCATGTCCTGGATAGGTTGGTGTTGGCAAACAGGTCCCTTAGTTATCTTGTACAAGACGGCACCTGTGAGCAGATGCTGGGCTTGGCCCCGATCGCCCATCTCCTCTGGGTGCTAAACTGGTGTGGTGTGACAGAGCAGTCCTGGTGACTTCACAGGGACTGCTCATGTAGGAGAGCATCCTGGGGGCTGTGGCCTCGTGCAGGGTAGCAATTCAACAAGCAGTGTAAGAGATGTAAATGGGAGGGAAGTCATACAATGTTCTTTGGAGTGCAGAAAGACTGAACGTCTTTAGGAGCAGTGTAAATGCTTAAGCACTCCATATTTACATAGCTGCTTTTGGCTTCTGCATTTTGAAAGTTCAGATGTAATGTGATATTCTTTTTCTGTAAAAAAAACCTGCTTGTATTTTGTCTGGAATGTTAATTAAGTGCTAGTGGTGTTCCCATATCACAACCATTATTTTCCTTTTCCATTAGTAGCAGGGATGGATGATTTAAGTTCAGTGATGTACTTGAGGTTATCTGAGGTCTTAATTATTCTCCAAAGATTACTACGTCATGTACTTTGCTCTATGGCTAAATGGAGATATGAAGTACTCATCTGATTAATTTCTGTTTGCCGTCATGTCTGCAAGTACATATTTAGTAAATGCTTTATTCAATTTAGTAAATGCTTTATTCAATTGCATCATTTCTGT